CATATAGCTGCCATACAAACTGAACAATCGGTTATCAAGTGTTTGTATGGAAAACTCTTTCATTTGACGAGGTATCTTCACGAAATTAGGCAGCAGTTATTGCTTAAGGCAACAAATTATTCTCCACAGAAATTGGTCAGATCAGATCACTATATCATATAGCTGCCATACAAATTGAACGTTCGGAATCAAGTTCTTGTAAGGGGCCTTTGTATTTGTGAAGGGTATTATAGCTTCGGCGCAACCGAAGTTAACGTTTTTTCTTGTTTTTGTATGTAATATTCAAATATGTGTAGAATTTGGAAAATGGCGAAGTAAAATATATATAAGATACTCAAAAATATAAGGTTGTCAAATATCTCCCTTCCGCTTTTTTGTTCTTCATTCATTGCTTTATAAAAAGTGTTACAGCGATCGGATTTAGTTAAAATATGCGCCGTTTTGTTCGATGATCTGTTTCCATCTAGACGGCAACTTCATATTACCTTCCTCGTAGAAGCCCCCCTCCTTATTTGCGAAGAATTCGGACAGCCACTTTTCACAAGCCTCTTTTGAGTTCAACTTCACACCACCAAGGGCATTCGCCATGGACAGGAACAGGTGGTAATCACTTGGCGCTACGTCCGGGCTATATGGTGGATGCGATAAAACCTCCCATCCGAGCTCCCGTAGCTTCTGACGAGTCATCAACGAAGTGTGTGGTCTGCGAGCAGCAGCTCATAGTGGATGATTCCCTTCCAATCCCACCAAACACACAGCAAAACCTTCCTGGCCGTCAATCCCGGCTTGGCCACTGTTTGGGACAATTCACCGGCCTTCGACCACGACCGTTTTCGCTTGATATTGTCATATGTGATCCATTTTTCGTCGCCAGTCACCATCCGCTTCAAGAATGGGACGAGTTCGTTCCGTTTCAGCAGCATATCGCAGGCGTTGATTCGGTCCAGAAGGTTTTTTTGCGTCAAATTATGCGGCACCCAAACATCAAACTTTTTTTTGTATCCAGCCTTCTGCAGATGGTTCAAAATGGTTTGGTGACAAACTCCCATCTCCTGGGCGATGTCACGAGATGCCATATGCCGGTCTAACTCGATGTATTTCATGATTTGATCGGTATTTGTCGTCACAGGTCTTCCGCCGGCTGGCTTATCCATGGTGTCGTTTTCACCGGCTCTGAATCGTCGAAATCATTCCTTCGCGGTTCGAAGTTATAGAGTACCATCCCCCAAAACACTATTAATCTCACGGAACGTTTCTCTAGCGGATTTGCCTTTAACGAAGGAAAACTTTGAAATAACGCGAATTTCGGCGTTAGTGAACTCCATGTTTACACGTCTATAACTGTTGAACGCAATATCCAAACTAATCATGCATAGCGTTGTTTTGTAGGTTATGTCAAGACCTTTCAAATTATGTATAGTGTTGCCAGATATGAGCTCTGTAGCGCTTTGTACATAGCCGCGAAATTCAAAAGACAAAAAAGCGTAAGGGAGATATTTGACAACCTTATATTTATTTTAAATATTTAATCATATTAAGCAGTATTAAACGTAATTATTTATATAAATTAATTTTAATACAAATAACGTTACTTTTACATTTTTATATTTACCTTAATATATTAAGATGCGTTCATATTTATTTCTTTTAAACACAAAGTATTGAGTTCGAATATCATTTTATTTAAAACAAGAGATATTACTTATTCATGAATGTTTTGTAATAAATAGAAAAAATATGGCTTAAAAATATAACGTGTATATACTCTCTGATAAATTGGGAAGTTCCGGTCATAAATTTGGCCATGAATATATTAATAGCAGATATTTAATACATTCTGATGGATTAGGGTATTTCTGTAATACGTTTTTCCTTGAAAATATTAATAGCTAAACATTGTTCTATCACATTCATGGTAATTCGTTGCAAACAAAATCTCAGACCACAATCCCAACGTACAAATGAAATATGCTACACGCTCTAAGTGGCGCATAGCTGAACCGCATAAACATTTGGGAAAATTTTGTAAAAAGGAATGACAGAATAACTCGAGTTGCTCGACTCATTTCGCTCGTGTGAACGCACAGACCTCTTTCCACTCATCTAACACCCCTCTTTTTTTAGTCCGATTAAGCGGGGACAAGATAACCGCTACAAAAACAATACCAACATTGTCAAGTCGTTAATTGACATGAAAAGTTTAAGTTTTCATTTACCTGATGACGATATCATTTTGTTCGCTGGCAGCGGAAGTTATAGGTACTTTATTGTTATACCTGAAAACTCAGTTGAAAAGTATAATATTAGCAATTATTTAAAGTAAAACCAAATTATTTACTTGCCCATTAGCACCTTTTTCATTAATTTGATGCATGAAGTTGAAGAAATGCGCGAATATATTAAATTCTTGACACTCTCCATCCACAGTTTTAATAATAGTTATATCTTTCATTTTCCACACATTGAGCAGATGGTTCCCATTAATGACTATTTTTTAATTTGAATGAATAGCAAACAAGAAAGTATGCAATTTTAAGTGAACCAATCTAAAGTTGAACTTTAATTGTAAGTACATCTGATAAAAACTATTGCGTACCAAAACCTTATGCCTGGTAACCAAAATACCAAAGCAAATGAAACTACTGATTTTGGCCCGATCGGACCGAAACAGCAACGCTGCCATTAATACGTATTTGCTTGAGCGTTTTCGATACATAGCCTTCTGGTTGATTACATACTTATGTATATCTTGGTAAACAATTGAGGTATTTTAAAGAAACGAAAAGGACAATGGATGATTTAACTTTTTCATGTTCCTACTTTCCACACTGATTTTTTATTTATCATTAATTAACTGTGAACTTCTTTGAGATGGCTATACAATGTAAACATACTCTTTGTTATCAAATGAGCTGTATAGTTTTATATTCTAACCTTTACAAAGTTCAGTTCATTGGATTATTTGTTTGAAAAATAACAAAATATTATAGTATCGTATTCTGAATTTATCGTACTCTGTTACTTCATTCTTTAAATTATGTTTCAAATTTAATTGTATTACTTCGTTTGTTATTTCCATATTAATTGATTAACATAACTAATTCTAAAATTATCTTAATTTTGTTTAAAAAATTCTATTTGCTTATCAAATAACGTAAATTACTTGTAAAGTGAAGATATAGTTACATGTACATGTTCACCTGCTGAAATCGGCCCAATGCCACATCAATAAATTATTATATTTCAATAATAGTAATGTGGATAAAACGCAATTTGAAGCATAATTTGGTCTTCTTCGATGATATAAACATATTTCACTCAATATTTTATTATTACTTCAAACATTTGCTATTTTCGATTACGGGTCTTCTTCCAACAAGGATTTATTTGTTATTCGTTATGATTAGACCTCGGTATTTTGCATTTTATTTGTAATCACATTAGTGCAAAACTTTTTATTAAGACGTTTTATCGTTCAAAAATATATGTAAACGAATTTCATCGAAAAATTGAATCACTTGTAAAATGTAAAATTACGAACAATTTAGATAACCAATTTTCTTGCTTTAAAAACAATCAACAAAGAGAGGCATAATCCACTTTTCCCTGTCCAACGCTTTACTGTATATTGTTGTAAAACCCGGGCAACGCATGTTACGAAAAGCAAAATGCACACAAAAATTGGTGTGCTTGTTGCTAAACACGGACAAAGTGTAGTCAAAAACAGATGCAGTTTCTTTAATCTCTTTTCTCTTTCTCTAAACACTTTGTGTAACACATTTCGTACCACGGATATTATTTGATAATTTTTAATTTTATTTCAAACAAGTTATTAACAGAAATATCGAATAAAATCTTAAGTCTGAATCAAAGCGGCACATGTCTTGATAGCTATATTGTTTCTACATTTTGTATAGAAAGTATCCGCTCAACACAAGCCGAAGAATAAATAAATGCGTTGAATTCATGCTTGTTCAAATTCTTTTACCTCTGAATAGGTCGATAATAACATATCTCACACTAAATATAAAAGAATCACAATTCGAAAAATGACAAATATTCACGAGGCATCGGACGCAATTAACACAAAAGTAGACATAAAGGTGATTTTCCAGTTAAATAAGATAGTAATGGCAATGAAATTTCTTGGGTAAGTAGATAAGTGTATTACGAATTGATTTATTGAAAAAAAAGTTATTTTGAGTTACTGTGTGACTCTTTTGTATTTTGTGTGGGATTTGAGTTGTGACTCTTTCGTCAAATAGAGCCACAACGTAGTCGTTTGTGCGGAAAAATGTACAATTGTGCGTACTTTAGTGTAATGAATAGAAATAAACAAAAATGTGTAAGGAAAAGTGTTTGGTGAATATATAATTTGTACAACTTGTGGCAAAAAGGTGAATATTAAATATTCCGGCTTATGAAAACCAATTTTGATCTACATATATAAAAATTTATCTGCGTAATGTATGTTCCCGCATAACTTTAGAACGCCGGCAACAAATTGGATAATTCTTCTTTTATTGTGGTTTGTATACAAAAAAAAATTAAATTTGATTAAAATTTCGGCGACCAGGAAGCATCAACACCCAAACCTATCAAACATAACAAAGTAACAGAAAAAGTTATTTGATTGATTGATTGTTTTCGTTTGTTTTGAAATTGATTAAAAAAAGTTGAGAATTTACTAATACATATATAATATAATATTTTATATACTATAGTTTAATGCCAAAAATATGTGAAATTGATTCATAAATTACCCAAACTATCATATACTACATATATTGATTTTCTTTGTTCTAACAAACCGTATACACCTGCCTTTAATCCTGGCAAGTTGCAAGAGTATGAAATGTTCGGTTACACTTAAACTTAGCTCTTCCTTACTTGCTTATTTATGAGTTTAAATTTATTATTAATTCAATAATATTTAATTATTTATATTAATAAATATTCTTATAATTGAGTATATAACTTATATAAATATTATTTCTTACCAAATGGTCAATAAAGAATATTACATGCAAGTTATGCGCAATTTGCATGAAACAATCCGCCAGAAACGCTCGGATTTGTGGAAGAACAAAAATCATCTTTTGCACCATGATAACACCCCTGCTCACGCATCGTTGCTTGTACGCGAATATTTGGCCAAAAACAACCCATTAATGGTGTCGCAGCCACCTTATTCCCCAGACCTGGCCCCCTGTGACTTTTTTTGTTCCCAAAACTGAAGAAGCTCATGAAAGGACGACGCTACACTACGATTGCGGAGATAAAAATTGGATCGGGGGAGGAACTGAATACGATCACAAAAATTACTTTTTTAAGCTTAAGTGCATTATATCCAGGGGGGATTACTTTAAATACTTTATTAAGAAATACAAAATTCGCGATACTTTTTGAACACACCACGTGTGCAAAATCCAAGCTCCTCTGAATCCCTGAACAGGGTATAATATTTGTAAGTTTGCCACGAAGTTTGTAACACCTAGAAGGAAACGTCGGAGACCGTATACAATATACACATAAATGATCAGAATGATGGGCTGAGTTAATTTATCCGATCTCGGACCACTATAGCATATAGCTGATATACATACTGAACAATCGGAATCAAGTGTTTGTATGTAAAACTCTTTTATTTGACGAGGTATCTTCACGAAATTCGGCAGGGATTATTATTTAAGGCAATGTTGCAATCTCCGAAAAAAATTTTTTAGATCGAATGCCTATAGCATATAGCGGCCAAATTAACTGAACGATCGGAATAAAGTGCTTGCATGAGTTATTGTATGAGGCAACAATGCATTACCTTAAGAAATTGTTCAGATCAGATCACAATATCATATAGCTGCTATACAAATTGAACGATCGGAATCAAGTCTAGTAAGGAACTTTTGTATATATGAAATTTATTCTAGCTTCGGTGCTACCGAAGTTAACATTTTTTCTTGTTTTTGTAATTATTCGAACAAATAGAATAAAATCAGTATACAATTAATAATGAAACTTGTAAGATAATTTCGTATTTTGTTTTAAAGGATTTCCAGATACGGTACTGATATTTGTTTCTTAATTATAAATATTTTTCTTTATCTCTTCCTATTAGTATTTTTCATGATTAGTCTGTTCATTCTGGCTGGCTTCGAAAATGTCAATTACAATGTACAAGAACAAAGGATAATGTTCTGTAATGCATTCGAAATATTTTTGACATTACATCATGTTTTGAAATGCATTAAACCGGTAGTCGATGTATAGTGACAGAGAAAATCGTGCATCACATATAAAGCGGAGCGAAATTGTAAAGCTTGTTTTTAGTTGTTTCATTAATTTGAACCAAATTTGCATTCAATTCGGAGAATATGGCACAAAATGTACTTATGATGGAAAGAATATTATTTAATTTCCTATATATTTTAATGATGTTGTGTTTGTATTTTCGATGAAACGGAAGATATTACTTATAATGAAACTATTTTGTTTAATTTTTAACATTTTAACAGTAAAAGTGTTCTGTAACGTCAAATTATACAACGCATTATTTTGCAATGTGGTTTGACGTTGGTAGACGAGTATAAATACTGTAGTCATACTGTAACGATACAATGCAGTAGTACGTTTTCGAAACCTCTATATTAAATATAATATTGTAGATAGTTTCACAATTCAATACATAGTCACTTTGTCGGTATTATTCATAAAATAGAAAGACAACATAAAATCTTATTTCAATATTACAATAACTATTAGCAATACAGTTCCAGCCACTAACCACCGAACGATTATGTCCATAAAATTAGCAGTTTAAGAAATGATTTCCTCATTTAAGCTTGAAGAAGGGATTCTGAAATTGTATCTTATAAGTGGAAAATTGTAACTATCAAAGTAAAATAAAACTAATATAAACAGAAATTAATCTAATTTTTACGAGTCGAATATTAAAATCTATCCGTCGACTTGTCTTGATTAATCTAGCTGGTTTCTAATAGTAGTACCACCAATCAACAATCACTCACAGTACAGACTTTCATTAAATTATTCGTGGCCAAATTTCGCCATATTGTGTAAGTAAAAAAATGTACTGTAGTTTACTGTATTGTAGAAGTAAACCTTTCAGGAGTGCTTGAGGCGGGCACTTTTGTCAGCAAACATAAAATATAAATGTTCATTATGAGATATTTTTATTTTGACACCGTTACTTGATTTTTTTTTAGATTTATTGCTTTTAAATCTTGGGAATAAATTAATTTATGTGCAACAATTTAAGACAATACACACAGAAAACTTTATCAATAAAGCACTTGAAGGGCGTTTAACGCCACAAAATCATATTACAATCACTTTTGCGACGACAAACTCACGCATTTACTATTCACTAAAACTCAGTGGGCAACTAGCCAATCATCTTGCACTTTCCCACAAACATTAGCCCCTTAATAAGTCGATGCAGCCAACTCCTTCCGCAACGAGCACTTATTTACACTTTCAAGGTTTTCACGTTCACTGCACTTCGCCTCCAGGTATTGATAACGTGTCATCTTAATATGTCCGCGACGACAAACACAACTATGATTAAAGGAGTAATTTTCAATGAGGCGTGATTTGCAAGCAAAGCCGGTCTACCAGCGTCAACGCTAAATCAACTACTAACTGCGATGCTGTCTGACATCTTGTTTAGTATCTTTCTCAGCAAGGTAGACTGCATGTGCATCAGAGCATGCGCGCTCTTTTTTAATTGTCGGCAAGGCAGTTCTACACTATTAAATATTTTATGCTCTCCTATCTCTTAAATGTCCAAATATTGCTGCACTATTGTTGTATCTAAATAACGAAAGTTCGAAATGTGTGAGCCGATTTCCATTTTATTTAATAAAACATATATATTTTTTCTTTCGCTGTTTTCATTTCTCATAAGTTCTCCTGTCGTATTTTTTTGTTCTCATTGATCTGTTGATTCTTGATACAAATTCGTATTTGGCCGACACTGCGTATAAGCAATGGGGAGTGTTACATGTACAAAAATATTCATTCCCGTTGGATATGACAAATATGTGTTTTTATTTTTTAATTTGCATGCTATACACTATCGACAATTCTTTATGACAACTGAACAATGGAAAAGCTATTGTGTTTATTAAACTACATGCTTGCATACAGGACTGCATTGTGAGCGTAATGGTATTTTCAGAAAGAATATAATATCTTTTGAAATTTGTGTAAAATGCATGTACTGTCTTAGCAGCATCAAAACATTTGACCGAATATTGCCGAATGTATTGCAGAAGAATTATAACGTGATTATACTTTCGGCAATAGGCTGCTATAGCATTAGTTAATTATCGATTTATTTATGAATCAGGAAATATTTTTCTATACATTTTGCTTACTTTCAGTAATTTTTAAGTTAAAGTAATTAAGGCATTCAATGTCCGTAGTAATGCAAACATATTACATACATATTTATTTTATTGATTCGGTTAACGGTTGGCCATTGACTTAATTTAATTTGAAAGACCATCGAATGAGAGTTTTTATAAATGTTAGCTAAAAGTCAATTAAAATGTATTTTAAGTTTGACATTAGACACTTATATATAATGGATAACTGAATAAGCATATATACTGTAATATGCATATTTTCGAAAGCTTCAAATATTCTTTAATGAATAGAGTTAAGTATGGAAATTGTCAGGATGATTTCGAAAATTCTGTTAATTCGAGCGACATTGAAATGGTAAAATGGATGAAAATAGATGAACTGAATAGTTGAGCCCAAAACGATATCACTAAGTAAACTACATATATAGTGATTCCATAACTAGAATGTAAAGGGTGATACCATATTAAAACTAAGACGCAAATGCAGTAATACCCATTCAAATTTTTAAAGAAAATTATTCAATATATAGGTACTTTGACAACCAGTCAGGTATGTCTCCGAGATATTCATTCAAGTATATTTCTAAGTTATGTTTCACTCCTTTTGTGATACACTTTTGTTGTTGTGAAGTAAAATAACATCTCATAAATTTTAAATTCTGCTGGGTTTGTTAGGGGAGTTTTCCTTTAATAAAATTATCAAGAGGAAGATAATATATTTAATTTTTATATACAATATATAAAACAAATCAACAATACAAAGTCGGCGACTTCAGAGCTTGGTGACTTTCGGACGTTAATAATTTATTTTGTATTTTGTAGCGAAATTTCCATTTAGTTTTAATGAACCAGTAGGAGGTTTGCTCTCGTACATGTAATTATGGTACTTGAATTTATGTTATTATTCTCCAAAGGAAGGTCGGTAAGTAACAAGCTAAAATAGCTTAAATGGCATTCTCACTAAAGCGAGCAACAAGCTTAAAAGTTACCAACTGTCGGATTTAATAAAACATCTGGGTGCTTTTTTACATTTTAATTAAATTTTCGCTGAAAATATGAGAAACTAAAGGCTTTTGCATGGACCTACAATACCTTCATCCATCTCCGTTAGTACATTTAATACTCTCGCAACATGTTGCTGAGAGTATATTTTTTTTACCAAGCGATTGTTTATAATATCAAAATTTAATCGTTATATATCTAATAGTTCTTTATATATATGCATCAATATATAATTTTAGGATGAAGACACACATTTAATTCCAGATGTCTGACTGTCTGTCTGTCCGTGTAAGCGGTAACTTGAATAGTATTTGGAATGGGTTGATGAGTATAGTATTTGGAATGGGTTATTTCTCGAACCTCTGAGGATATGAATGGTGAAATTTGTCCTTTCTAGAATAGTCTCGCCTACGTTTGGGTAAAATCAAATATATATATATATATAAATATTAATTTAAACAAAATTTAGCAATTTAAAAATCGATCTATAACTACATCTACTTTCCATATAACAAAACTTTAAATTTTGTCTGATTCTTTTACTGCGCAGTATAAAAACTGCGTACCAGTAAAGATATTGCGATAAAATTTTGCACAAATAGCGCCTCACCTTTTATTTTTAAGTGACCGAAATCGGATAATACCTTTTCAAGCCTTCAGATACATAAATGAAATTCAGAGAGCATATTTTTTTGTAATTTGTTCTGGTGACAAAAATTAATTAAATCGGGTCAATACTTTTAACGTTAGGGATAATAACATTTTCGGATATCTTAGTAAAAGTAAATCAGCGTATTTTAGATTGCTACCAAAAATGTGTGAAATCGGTGATAAATTACGCAGGCCAAGCCCATATACATATATAATGCTTTTCGTTATTCTAGTGGAATTGATGCGGAATTTATTAGTCATATTATGAGTATCTTAACCAAATTGTATGTAAACATGTTCTGAAGCATGATGTTTTCCCTTGATACTTCGTATTGTCTTTGCGCCGTCTCAGGTGGTTTATCTCAAGTCCGACAATGCGTAGCAACTCGACTAAGTTATTGACCTGTTTGTTTTTTCAGACCGTGCTCAACACTTGTGAGCGTTTCATAATGGTACGCTTTGACCATAATGGAGGTATAAAGAGATATCGGGTGCGTTCGAGCTACGTAATAATAACAGCAGTACAGCTACTGTGTTGCATATTTGCTGATACTCTGCTGATGTGCAGACAAAAATTTAGTGTTGCTGATTATTTGCATAAATGATAGTTAGTAGAACACCACCCGGATCTCTTAAACGTTTATTTCTATTATCATGCTGGTTGATTAACACACAATCACGTATTCTTTTAGTGCAATATATTACATTATTTATTTGCTTTTGAGCCTTGAAAATTGCAAGAGTAGAAAATGTTCATTACACCCGAACTAAGTCCTTCCTTACTTGCTGCGTTTATTTTCTTAACAGTTTCAATATATTCGTTGAAATAGCTGAGAAGCAGTCCACGAATAAATAAGCAAAATGAAAAAAAAACATTTTCTAGAAAATACAAATGCAGCTCTGCATTTAACTAGGTCACCACCGCAACCTCTCTGAAAGGAAAAAGTGTATGAAAGTAAACCAACAGCAGTTTAGTGCTATGCGCATACATTCATTGTTGGTTCATGTATAAAATCAACATTGCTAACATATTTACTCTGCCCAAAACAAAACACTTCAATTTCTACTTCGCCTTAAAATGGTTTAATTTGATTTTCCATAGTCACCTAAAACGAGAAATGTCCCTAGATCTAAAACCTTTGTGTGCACACACTATGTTAATAGTATGTAAGAAATAGTTTCAATAGTTGTCATTGGATCGTAATATTTAGAAGCCCTTTTTGGGTATCATTTATTTTTCAGGCAGTAAATAATAGTGCTGATCGATTACTCCCAGACCAGCGACTCTTTTTTTTGTTGCAAACAACTTTTTATATTGTTTATAAATGAGAAAAAGTTTAATACATTTTTAATCATAGTTAGAGGTCTGTTATTAAATTAGAAATGGAAAATACCAAACAGCGAAAGTTACATGGATTTAATCTTGTATCTACATAAATACATATTTTGTTATCTGGCCAAGGCAGCCCAGAGCACAGAAGTGAGTAAGAATACAGTAAGTAGATTTTCACGAGAACTTTTCTAAAAAGTTTAGAGATCAGAAAAAAAGGAATCAATTAGTTATAATAAGATTAATCCATACATTTATTGTTCTGCTTAACATTTTCTCTGTAGGCAAAATGAGGTAAGTTTTCACCACACTCCTTCAATTGCGATAATAACCATGACTTCGAAACAATATCTGATCTTCCTGTCAAGAATCGTTGAAGACCGACCGCTCTTTACCACGACAATGCGAGCTCTCACACATCGTCTGAAACAACTGAATTTTTGAGCATGCAAAACATCGATTTGATAGTCATGCGTACTTAGGAATCGTTTCTCTTATGTTCTTAAATCCACTAACCCCTCATAAGTCAATATCAAGTTTCAGGCGACGAGTTGCGCTAATGGGGATACCATAATCGGCTTTTCCATGAAAAAATACATGTACATACCAATTTTCTGAGTCTATCGAGCCTAGAGGGTAAAATTTGTAGATTATAAAAAAATAAAACTTTTGACATCTAGAGGCAAGAACTTTTAAAGTAAATTTCGATATAAATTTTTTTGGTTTAAACTCTTCATATTTATATAAAAATTACCGAATTTCACGGTTTTTGACTCAAAATTTATTTCAGACCTTAAGGAAAACATGTTGTCATTTTTTTTTTAAACTCCAATAATGACCACAAAATTTTTTTGAAGTTGATAACTTTTAATTAGCAAGAACGAGGACTCTCCACATCTTCTAGAACACTTATCAAACATTTTTTACGAAAGAAAGATTTTAATTCGAAATTAACTTTAAAAGTGAGGGGGCCGTCTCTAGATGTTAAAATTTTTTTTTTCCAAAAGTTTTAGTTTTTTAGCCGCTTTTAGATGTTAAACATTTTTTTTTTTCAAAAATTTTCTTTTTTTATAATCTACAAATTTTACCCTCAGGCTAAGCAAAAAAAATATTTTTTTTAGCTTCTCCCTAATACACATCCTTATATATAATGATTACACTCCCTCCGGACCTACTGGCATCATGAAATTCTTGAGAAGAATTCTGAATCGAAACATTTTTCAAAAGTGAATAAACAACAGAGCCTTTTACCAATCTATTTTAAATATCAAATTTCGGTTGAGCACAAGAATATATG